CAAGCACTCTTGACAGCAAAAAAAAGTGTTCTAAAGCTCATTCCAGATTCTGACGATGTGTTTTTTTCTTGGATAAAATCCACAGTGAAGTGTCTTCGGGTTTTGAGACTTTGTTATGCCAAGAATACATGTTAAATGAAGCACAATATCTGTTGCATTTATAACATGATCAAGTAACACAATGCGTAGCATCAAAAGGAAAAGAAAAAACACGTGTCTGTTTCTCTCATGGGAACATACTATGAGCCACTGAAAACATTGCAAATGCAAGTGAAGCAGCTGTTTCTGGTTTTTTTTTAAGGTCTCTAACTGAGAGTTCACCTCCCAAAAGATGTGCATGAATGCAGACTTAAAATATATATAATGTGATTCAGAGGCGGGATTCAAATTTTTTTACTACCAGTTATGTGGGCGTGGCTTGGTGTGTGTGGCAGGGGAAGGATACTGTAAAATCTCCAGTCAGAAGTGGTATTTGCTGGTTTTCTAAACTACTGAAAATTTCCTCTACTGGTTCTCCAGAACTGGTCAGAACCTGCTGAATACCACCTCTGATGTGATTGTATACTGCTGTGTAGGTACGCAGTGAAAAGCAGACTTAAGCATCATATATTTCGTTTCCACAAAAATAAGATAAAATGGGTATCACAGAACAGATTGAATAGCTCTTTTTTTAAATTGTAAAACTGCAAGACTAGAACACATAAAAGTATATGGAAATTCCGAACCAACAATTTGAAAATAATTTTAATGGGGTGAGATAATACAAATGAAAAACTAGTATCAAGAGACTTGGAAGAGGTGTGGGCATTTTGGGCTGACTAAGTGAAGCAGGTATTATAATATCAGAGAAAACCAGCTCTCTTCATAAGCGTTTGGAGGGAAATTCCACAGAAAAGAAGGCAACTTATTTTAGTATAGCAGTGCATAAGAGTTTACAGAATCCTTATTGGTTTATATAGCTATGCTTTTTTTTTCGGAACAAGAAATCTTTTTTCCTTTGGTTTCTGCCTAAAGTTCAGGCATTTCTGCTAAGTTTGGAAGCTATGGGGTAGGAATAAAAACAGTAGCTAGCAAGTAATGGCTACTAGAGATGAGATATATACAGTGTTTCCTTGTAGTACAGTAAATTGTAGCGCAAGTAGCTTTATGTTCTAGATGCAAACAATATATCCAATGCTCAGTTTAAAGTAGCTTTTTTTCTAGAACACCTCAAACATTAGCTAAGAATGCTGGGAATGATAGGATTTGTATTCTAGCACATGAATCCTTTAGGCCACGGCTGTCAATCTCACGGCCCATGAGCCAGATGCATCACATGCTGGCCCCGCCCCCGCCCAATTTAGCGAAGGGAAAAAAGTCCCTGTACGTCATGTGACACCGCCGTAATGACATGAGTTTGACACCTCTGCTTTAGGCTATCCTCTCTCTCCAGTTTGCTTCATAGATAAATCTACTTGAATTGTTGAACCAACTTCTCAATAAGACTGTCTGTTCTATGTGGTGTCCACTTCTCTAGTGAAACAGAGAGACATCTACTCAGTTGTTACATCTGCCTCTGAAAAACCTGTCCCCGAAAACAGAGATGGCCTCAGATCTCTTGGAATTTTGGAAGGCTGTTAAACCTAGATCTTCGGGGGGGGGGGGGGGGGGGGGGGTTGGGAAGGTTGAGTATGGGATTGAGGAGATATTTTATGATATAGTTGTATTGTACATTGTTTATATTTTAAGCTGAATTAATAGAATAGTTCTTTGTTAGACATTTTTAGAATATGTGAAGTGATATAAATGTTCATGTAAGTCATGAATTTAGTAAATGTTGGGCATTTCTGATTTGTTGATTGATGGAGAATTGCCTATGGACTTAGTGTTGGATATGATGTAGGATCTATACAGTTCTTTGTCTAACATACTTGTAATAGAATTCTCTGCTACTCCTTTGTATCTACAATCCTTTTTGGAAGTAATAAATCTTAATGTTATTGTGTGGGATTGTCTATAATGCTTGGCAATGGTAGCATTAGTAGATTTTTTGGGAATGGCAAAAAACATTTCCCTGAGTTCTGTATGACCCTATTACCTCATAACACTTTTCTAAAGCACAATTTTACATAAAATATGAAACAGTTAAAAAGAAATATTATTAAGTGATGCTGAATTTACTAATCACCTATAATTTTTATCAGGAGCTTTGAATGAATGATTTGATTAGAGGATTTCAAAATCTGATATCTGAAACGAATCTCTGAACTGATTCACTCTACTCAATCAAATCAGGTACCTGTAATTTCTGAGTTTCCAAACCAATTTGGAGATTTGTTGGGGTTGTTTTGCTCCATAGATTTTCAAACATTTTCAGCTTGCACTCCATGTATGGACAAAATTAAGAGAGGCAAGTTGATGCTTACCATGATATTGACATGCATGGCAACCAATGACTTTAATATTTCCCAGCACTTCCCAACCAGTACCAGTACTTAGTAAACTCTGCTCTGCTCTCTTCATTTGTCCATTTGTCAACATCATGCTAAGTTTATTGAAGGAGGAGTGACAGATTGTAGCTTTTGGTTTTCCGTTTTATTTGACTTATAGTATAGTACATATTAATTGTGCCACTGTCTGCAGTTTATTCTTTCAGCCATCCCTTTTATCATCTTTCAACTCCTTCCCCCAAATTAAAAAAAATAATCTAAAATAACTTATGTCATCTTCTTCTGCTTGCCTTTTGTCACTTGTTCTAGAATCTAGTGATTGAATAAGCCTTCTCCATTGCATAAGTGGGCATGAGATAGTGTGCCTGCTGCTAAGACTATTACATATAATACAAAGTATTTCTTAAAATATCTATCTGTCTGTCTGTCTGTCTGTAATAGTGGTAATGCATACCTATTTTCCAAATTTTAACAATTATGTAAGCAGCATATCGATAGAATTCCCAAAATAATTTCTCTTATTATATAGTATGGATTCTTTTTACTATCAACTTTTGATTGTAGTCATTTTTGTTTTAAAATGATCTGAATTTTTTAGGAATAGAAGATGAAAATATCTATATATTACCACTAACAGATTGGTGAAATCAATATAAAGTATTTACTTTTAATTAATTTTCAAACCAAGGCATATATAGGACAGGAAAATGAAGTTGTTTTTAATAGCCTCCCATATCAAAAACAGGATCTATTTTTACACAAGAATACTTGCTCCTATTATGGTTAGGTTTCAATTTACGATCCTATATATGTAGTACAAAGCATTTTCATAATCAAGTTTTTTATTCCAGGCATGCTTCTGACCTATGGAATTTCATTCAAAGGAAGTCTTATCTGGAATCAACCTTGCTGTATTTTAGATGCTAGTTGAATAGTTAGAAGTAGAATAGATGGCAAATCTTTTTCTAAGGTATCTTTGCCAGATAGTTCTTTACAGCTAATTCCTGCCTTGACTACTATAATGTTCTACACCTCAGAAGCTATTTCTGAAGAATTCCTTGAAGAGACTAGTGTTCCAAAATACAGCAACTTTGTTCAGGGGCTCAATGAGGGAAGTATAGATTATGTTTTTGAAAGGTGATATGGAGACTGCTAGCTTGCTTCTGGGCATATTTTAATATTCATGCTGGACTGAGTCATTCAAAGCTGACAGTTTTGAAAATATTTGCTAAAATGTGATCCATTCAAAGCTATCAGTTCTTATCAATCAGGTACATATGTTCGATGTTCAGTAGGGACTCCATACATTTATTTATTTAATTTATTTATTTGTTTGTTTGTTTCCATAGCTGTCCATCTCAAGTGATGCTTTTCAACATGTATCAAGACTAAAGAGGAAAGATTATGCATTAATCTCTACACTGCCTGGAGATGGGTAATTAAGAAACAAGAAATATCATAAATAAATACAATAATTTTTGACTTGATAATAATGCTAGAGACAAATAAATGATATATGGATATTGAAGAACCTCATTAAGGATGCCTAGAATTTTGTTTACATGGGTTGCATTAGTGTACATTGTCTATTTTTGCTGCTTCATGCAAGATAATTAATACAAGATAGTTTCAATCCCATAGTCCATTTCAATTGCTTTTCTGGTTTGTGAGTAGCTTTGGGAAGAAAAAAAAACCAGAGGCAACATTTTCTATATAATATACTGTATGTATTTTTTAATTAAATGGAACATTGTTAAATTGTTTTTAAAATGTTTATTTGAATTTTATATTTGTAATAGTCCATTATCTTTATTTTCATATCCTTTAAATTTTGACCATTCTGCTAAAATAATTGTCAAATTTTGCATTGTTTATAACTGATATTGGTTCCTGATATCTTGAAAGAACTTGTGTATTTTTAATGATTTTTTTGGTCAAGAATAACACAGTATTTTCATAGTAGGCAGAATCAGTTACATTAGAGGAAATGGATAGAAATTGTAAATATTTTTAACCCAATAAAATATGAGATAAATACAGGATGTTTTTTTTTGTTTCAAGGCTTTTGAAATATTGCTCCAAGATTTATATTGTTGGGAAATGTTCAAAAATCTTTCAACTTGTTCCACTTAGTATATTCATAACACTGTATATGTATTTGTTGTTTTTGCTATTCATTTTTGAATTTACTAACCATATATTGCTCAATAATAAATAAATTATGACTTAGACTAATTTACTTTTATCACAAAATATGTTTTACTTCTATAGGTAATACTATTCAGATTAATATTATAAAAGTAAACTCAGATAAAAAGATTTTTTGAGATTCTAGATTTTCTGCGTGGCCAAAAGTTGTTCACTTACCAAGCTTCTTTCTTTCATCTTTTTTTTTTTTGCATAATATTTACCTCAAACTTGCTTCAGGCTAATGTCTCAATAATTTCCACTCCTTTCTCAGGTCCTTACCACAAAGGACTTGACTAATGATCCATGGACAAAATGAAGCATTTAAATTTATTCATTAATCATTCATCTCCAGCTCATTGAAAACTTTAAACTTCCACAAAATTAAGATAGAACATTGAAGAGTGATTGAGGGAGACAGCTTTCAGTGAGCTAAAAAAGACTGGTAAACACAAAAACAAAAGTACATTAGACAGAGTCTTAAAGTGTCACATGGGCATCAGTATTGTTACAGTTTACATAAACTTTAAGTACTGAATCGCAAAGCCTTTATTCGGTCCAACACAATGGGGAAATCTGGGGAAGCGTACAGTCACTGTCAACACCACCAGTAATTATTCTCTCTTCCAATTAATGGTGACATAGATTAATTATCAGATGAGGCAAAGCCAATTGCAATCAGTCACCCAGAGCTGAAATTAGATCGTTCCTGACAGCAGCATGAAAGTCACCTGTTTCATTGTTATGGATTTGCTGTAAGTAAGAGAATGGCAAGGCATGCTGGGAGGTGGTGAGTTTTTCGTCCATGGAAGTGTGAAATGGCAAACAGGTGAATGTCCAATTACACTGTTATCTGAACTGTGTGACTTTTCTTGTCTTATATTTCAGCATCCAAGACACAGTGGTTGTTTGCATTATCTTCTAAGTAGACAAACCATCTGTCAAAGACTTCAAGAAAATGTCTGTATTTTGGACTGTCTCTAATAATCCCCCCTATATGAAACAGAAAAAGAAAAACAAGAACACATTCAATAAAGAAATAAATATATAGAAATATATAGAATATATAGAAATGGTAGCAAGAATTTTCAAAACAATCTTTTATATTGTTTAAAAAAGTGAAAGCACTGCCACTTTATTAAAAAAAAACACAGGACACTCATTCACACATTCCTGTAACTTGGCTGACTCTTGATACAAACTATCATAAGATTATCTTTCTGAAAGTAAACACCCAATTTTCAGGCAAGTTAATGAAGCTTTATGTGCAACCAGGTTAGTGTTACCAGTGGTATAAAGTAAGAAGAAACTAGTTTACTCAATTTATTCTAATAATAGAATATTGCTTTCATTATTTGTCCCTTTTTCATGATGTTGAGGGAAGCAATCACATGTAATTATAAACACATATACATCTTTTTAAAAATCCTTTTATATTTCTATCCTTAATGGAAATATGCGATATTTGTATCCTAAATTGAAATAATATAGGGAAAAAATAGACAATGTAGAAAGCAAAACATAAGTTTTATGAAAAAGAATGTATAGAGGAATCATGTTGCATAATGATGACAAGATTTGCTCCTTGCTGTTGCAACCCTCATCCTGTATTTTCTACACTTCAAAAGGTCTTTTTCAATTATATTCTATCTTTTTCTTAACCAAGGAGATTTGTATGGTGCATATCATGTCTGCATCAAGGTGAAATGGCTATTACAGAGATTCCAGTTAAGAAGGTCATCATTCTCTGCATGCATGAAGAGCAAATCAATCTTCTGAAGCAAAAGGAAATGCTATGTTGGATTTGGTGCTGGCAAGTAGTGTGACTATGATAGATAAAATGGCTGCTGGGGAATAACCTTGGACCAAGTGATCATGCATTAGTCCAGAAGGATTTAATTGAATAGGCTGTTGGAAAAGTGGCTGTAACTAAGGTATTTTATTTCAAAATGGCTGATTTTGACAAGCTACAAGTTGAGTGCAGAGATGAACTAGATGTCATTCTGGGGAATATGGAAATATGGAAAAGGATCTACATTTTTAAAAGAACATTGCATAGATAACTCATATTTTGCATTTTATGAAAGATGAGAAAGTTTCCAAGCCCTGATTGCTTCTATTAATGTGATGCATACAGATACCACCCATTTCTAACTATTGAACCATGAACCTCTGTACCATTGTGATTTTAGCAAAGGAATCCCATTGCAGCATAGAAAGTAGTCAGACACTTTTGCAGTTTTCTTAAAACCGACTGCATAAAGAAAGGTGAGAGTCATAGTACCATAATTACACAGGGGAATTTACTAAGCTGCATATACTGACAATGCACTTGCTTTCTTTCATTTGTAGAGATGGCCCTCTTGTACTGTTGTATGCCAGTTACTTATTCTCAGAAGTTTCAGATAGTTTTACAAGTACTCCATGTTCTTTTTCAGAAAGCTCATAGTCTCTGTATAAAATTATGCCACTGTATGAAATTATATTGCATTTGGGTAGTGATAACAAAAAAATAAAATCAAATGTTTAGAAACCTACTGAGCCAGTTTCCTGGGCTATATGTTATGCAACTGAAGGAAATCTTCCCCCGTTCTAATCTTAAATTCAACACTCATGCACAAACACAGAGAGAAAGAGAGAGAGAGAGAGAGAGAGAGAGAGAGAGAGAGAGAGACAGACAGACAGACACACACTCATACACCATATACTTGGAAATTATTCATATATGAAGGGTACTCATTTTATTTATTTATTTTTGCTTATTGAAATTGAGTATGTAAAGTGTCTCTGAAAAGTACATGCTTAAGGTGATAGTTGTGTGATAATGAAGACTCTATAGTAATGATAGCTCATTATTTCACATATTTGGTGAAACAATAGCCATCAAATGATAGGTGTAAGCCTCATCAACATTAGAGATAAAAAATAAACTCCAATTTCTGGTTGCTTTCAGGATGTTGGACAGACAGATGCAGAATTACTACTGTTTTTATTAGAAAGAGAGAGAACACACTTTGAATTCCAAATAAATACTTCATACAGCTTGGTTTATTGCTAAGAAGAGGATATTTACAAATGTAACAGTGCTATAGTATCACTGCAAAATGTGGAAATTTATTCTTAATTGTTGAAACATTGAATAAACAAATGTATTAAAAAAGAAAGAACGTGATCTATAAATTAGAAGCAAATTGTGGACATCTGAATCAAGATTTGTCAGGACCAATTATTTCAAACACATCTTTGTTCCTTTTGTAATGATTAGTTGTAAATGTAGACTACATAGAATACTGACTGTACCTAGAATGGGATTAGTTGAGTGTACTGCTCCATCTAGAATATTAATTAATCTGAACTTTTTTAAAAATCAGTTTTCCAAGGATGTGACATGACAGGTTTCATTCTAGAAATAAGGCTTTGTATTAGTATACTAAAATTTTAATGGTAGGATTGCATTTTGGAAATAATAGTGCTTCGAAGGCCACTAGTCTGATTTGGATAGCTTTGCTAATTTATCAACCCCAGGTCTCAGGGTGGATTTCTCATTACAAGTATTAACTTTACCATACTTAAAGAAATATGGAGAGAAAACCCCTTAGCTACTATGACTATGAGCATGGCATGCATTTACAAGCCATAAGGACAGCAAATTAATACCTAGTGTATTTAGTATTTAGTGTTATAAGTAAGATAACAAGGTAAAAACATTGAAACTTAAACTTGACTGTTTCCTTATTAATATTCCCACATTTGCTACTTTGGAAATAGGTTTTACAGGGTTCTATAATACTTTTTTCTTTAATACTTGTGTTTAGGACAGCAGCTTAAAATACATAAGCACAAATTAACCATAATAACAAAAATATAGAAGGGTCTTATTAGGAAGAAGCAATGTTTTATTTGTATTTCTACATGCTATTTTAAAAATTCAATCTAGGAATAAAGCAGTTCTATCTTTCAGGGAAAACTGGATGGAACCATGCATGACATGAGTAAGACATTTAAATAACTGAAAAGGTGAAAGTGGACAATCTTGTTAAACAAACACTTTTATTACTAAGAGTCGGCAGATATGCCAAATGGAAATGCAGATAACAAATTGACAAGAGACTCAAGTCATGCCATGAATTTAAATTCAAGCATCATCTTTGCATGGAAAAATAACAATTGTATGCTGGTTTTCCTATAAGGATACTGGAGTCCTCCACTTGAATCAGTAGTGAAAACTGTAACTTGCATATGTCAAAGAACAAGGCTCTTGGACCTCAAAACAGAAGTTACATTTAAATTGATTAGGGAATTCAAGTTCAAGAAGAGATACTTTCCTATGCAAGTATTCATGTCTAAATATATACACTTTTAGGAGGTTATTTTCAGTTTTTTTTTACTCCTGGCAAATTGCATGGATTAATCACTGCAATTTTCTTGGCAATGAATTTTGGAAGCAGTTTGCCATTGCATCTCTTCCTAGGGACAAAAGACTGGCCCAAAGGTAATTAGCTGGTTTCATGTCTAAGATGGGACCAGAATTCAAAGTCTCTCAGTTTCTAGTGTGATGCCTTAGTGACTGCACCATAATGGAGCTTTGAATATTTACATGTTCTAATTCAAAGAAAAGGTATTGACAAAGGGAGGAGTAAGAAAGAGAGACACAGCTTTGGAATGTAAGAGTCATATAATCAAAGAATTGTGTTTATTTGGCAAAGTCCATAAAAAACTGAAAGTATACGATCTAGTTTGCAATTACGTAAAGAACATTACAGAAAATATGTTTAATAAGGAGTTGTAGTTCACTAGATTTTGTAAAGATACTTCATAACTTTCTCCAGCTGATGCTGAGATGTAATCCTAGATACACTTATTTGTAACAAATGATGGTTATTATAGAATAAACATTACAGTATTTTCAGTATTTTGGTTACTGGAGGATATTGCTATCCAAAATCACAGAGGAAGGAGAATGAATCTTTTAATAATCTTAAAATCAGTAGCCAACAATGACCTACATTAACAAAAGTTATATATGCAGAGAAAATGGCTAAATAATAGGTAACTTGGAAATAGAAAGCATATTAGAAAATAAACTAGTACTGTATCTTTATATGCCTAAATACACCATGAACTGTCAAACTGGAATTGGAACCACTTACAAGATATAAAGGCATAGAATAGATTAAAGCTCTTCCATCCAGAACACAAAAATAGAATTAGTCAGTATTTATTTATTTACATTGTAAGTGTCTTTTTTAATTGCTCTCTCTCTCTATTTTTTCTATTACTGTAACATTTAGCTCATTCCTGTACCAGAGGAGACTCTCGCCAATCTACAATACTTCTGAAATTTTTGTTTGATTGTTTGGCTTCATTATTCTGCTCTTTTATATCAGATGATTAATTTATTGTAAAGTTTGTGATAGTAATTTTAGGTAGCCTAATGGCACATCAAGTATGTTTCTCAATGCAAGCCTTCTCACCAACCGACTAGAAAACCAAACAACATTGGCATGACATTAGCAAATTTCTCCCTGTCTTGCCTAACTTGAATTAATGTCAATAATATACAAAGAAATAAGTAGCACCAGCCTAAAGTACAGTATCACAATTATAGGTTTAGATCCTTGAAAAATTCTCTTGTTCTTTTTGCCAGTTGTCTTAATCTAATAACTCATTAGAATGAAGAACCTAAATATCACAGAAATTGTTTTAAAAAGTGGAGAAAAGTAATGGCTATTGATAAATTTCAAATTATGTCTTCAAAGTACTGCTCAGAAATAGAAAGAAAATTTGCTTGTGTTGAGACGTTTTGTATGAGAAATGTACTGTACGATTAAATACTGATTCACTTAACAATATATTTGATTCTGAGGCACTCAATCTTTGATATCTGCTAAGCCAGCCATCAGCTTACTTCCTACAGTATCCAGATACGTTTAACACATGCAGGCTGACTTCAGTATGGATTGTTACATGGAAAAACAGCTGTAGAGAAATCA